TTTTATGTGAAATTATTTTAAAATATATAAATTTTTCTCGTGCTATTAAAATATTTATCTATTAACCATGATAGAAAACTAAATAATGACATTATGGCATGTCGCCAATACAAAAAAAAAGATTGAAACATCTTATATACTTTTTATGGTTTATTATAGAATAGTTTGATTTTAATATAGGATATATCTGATTTTTATTCTAATAAAATAATAAATCTAGATATATAAAAATATAGGATATATTCTTAATATACTTGATCACAAAATGACAAAATAACAAAAAAGTTGAAAATATTTTTTTTTTTTAAATATGATAGTTCTAAGTAAAACCATTTTAAAGAATTTGAAAGTATATATTAAAGAAAACTATCTATTAGAATATGGATTTACATATTTATAATTAATTTATGAAGATAATTCATTTTTAAATGTTTACTTTAAATTAATATACTGATATCACATTTTTATTTTAGAGAATTAATACAAAAATTTTAAAATTTAGAGGGACTAATGTCAAAATTAAGTAAACATAAGATCTTCTATTAAAAAAATAAAAATTTATTAACACAAAAAATGATACATGACATCCTCTCAAAGATTCACTTGGTAGAAACTTTAAATATTATATAAGATATATTGGTGAGGAACACAAGCTGCGATCAAATTAATTGATTTAGCAAACTTCAGAACCATTAATCGCCACCTACAAGCGATAAACAAATGTTCAAAGTAATATTAATAAATTGCAAACAATAAGAAAAAATTAATCGATATAATTCAGCAATTAAATGAAAAAATTATACAAATTTTTAGCATTTTTCGGAGAATAATAGATCGGTCGAGATCGATTATGGGTTACACAAAATTTCCAAATTCATGTTTCCATGACAAAACACTTTACAAAATAATCAGTTTTCTCGTTAGTGCAACAAGCATACTCAGAATATTTTCATAATTAAGAATGTAAGAATTCAATTAATATAATATGGGCAAACTGATATTTGTAAAGTTACATATATAATTAAATCGATAATACAACAATATCGATACAAAATTAGGAAGAGAAACCAATTTGCAGATACGAGATATGATCTTTATCCTTAATTTTGAAAACGCTTTGTAATGTGACAATTGTGTAGCGTTCTGAATTTCAGGATACAACTGCAATCAATTTTGTTTTGCATAATTCAATAACAAAATCTAGGGACATTTACAAAAATGCCACTTTTGTATCCACATTTGCAAAAATGTCACATTTGGTGTCCATTTGCAAAAATGCCACTAATTCTGATTTTTTTAGAGCCTAAATCTTAAAATTCTAAACCCTAAAAAATATTTTGACCCCTAAAACCCTTTAAACCCTCAAAACTAAACCCTAATACAACATAGTTAACCCAAATATAAATGATATATTGAATAAATAATTTTGAAAAAATGACATTTTTGCAAAGATTGTAAAAATGTGGCATTTTTGTAAAATGGCATTTGAAAAGTGGTATTTTTTTAAATTTCTCCAAAATCTAACAAATTTTATTTTGTGTTTTATACCTCTCAGACACAATAAAATAGAAAGAAATTGTGAGAGA